AGTAGCAACTGTCACTTTTTCGCTACAGATCACGCAGGAATTGCCGCAGACTCAGCCGCATTTAAAATTTATTTTAAATTATAAAACTTGAAAAATTCTGTCTTGGAGGAAAGATACATATAGAATAAGTTTTCGTCTTATTTTAAAGTAGCTGAATATCTTGTTTATCCACACAGGCGCCTAAATCTCCACATGGATGGACCTCCGCCCCGCAGCATGATTCCCGGACCATACTAGTACGGCAGTAAGTAGTATGTTCATCCATTCTAATTCGGATGTTGATTACGACCCGGAGGGGAGATTATTTTTTGACCACACTATAAACCATACAATTCCTATCATTTGAGGTGCTAGTCAAGCAGGAAAGGACAACTTTTGGAATCCAATTAGGCACAACAGCTGCGCGGTTGGGCATCTCAGAAGATTAGCGCATCATTACGTTGTTTGCGTAAGACACACCGGGAAGTGTGTTTGTTTTATTTACCAACGCGATCTTCTCAGTTTTCGGTAACCATCTTTGATGCCATGCTTACATGCCTTTCTGCGCATTTGGCAAGATCTCGAACGCCACACTACCATTCCGGATGGGGATGGAACTGGTGGAACGGAGGGGGTTATTCTTTTCTGGTGGCTTAAGGAAGCAAAGAAGAGACCTTCATCCTAACGTATCAACAACTTTTTTATTCAATTATTACTCCCAGGTGGAGTTGGACCAATCATCCATTTGGCTGAGTCACTTTGATAGAGGCAACTCGTCGTCCTTTTGCATCAACTTACTGAGCGTTTTGTTTTTCGCCTCATATATAGGCAGCTCCGCTGGCTTGACGCAATCAGAGCGCTTGGCCGTGCCAAGCTCCTATTAACCAACCCTAATTCATTTTAATTTTCCTAACTTTTCAACTTGAGAAGTGTGTTTTACACTTTCTCCCTCCTCTAATGTAATATACATGAACGTTAAGCAGTCCTCAAAATAGGTTTATGGAGGCAAAAAATAGGAGGAGAAGAGGGAATGACAGGTCACGGCAACGACAGTCTCAGTGATAGGCCTTTTTTATTACGTGGTGAATGAATTAATTTATACTTGAAATGCCATTATAAATGTGTCAACGGGCAGTCGGACATAAAACCTGCATGCATGCGCAGGCTCTTCGAGGCTCCAAAAACACAACTTTGGATGGGACGAACGCATGCCAAAACTCGTAGTCGCACCTAGGTAGTAGGGACAGGAACCGTGCATTACGGATTCGTCATTTCAAACAACAGAACGTACACTTTCAGAAGGATAGATTCGATTGCAATTAGGGGGGTAAGAAGCATAAGTCAAGCGTCCATTGAACATCTAGAGCATGTCGTGAGGGAATATGGAAAGGTGGATTGCCTTCATATTTGAATTTCGTTGATAGCGGTACAAAGGCGGTTGGTAGGGTCCATAATAAACACCAGTTGTTAGCATTCTTACACCAGTAAAGAGTAATATTTGTCTTATTTCATCTTGTTTCAGACACAAATGGATAGCATCGAAAAAGTGTCTGCGTGGATTCAGTGAGCCTGCTTCAACAAACGGGAGCTAGGGGCAATAAATGAATAAAAACTTGCATCGATTACCTTAAATATATAAAAAAATTGACATTAAGATGAAGTGATCGGCTCCTAAGTGTAGATGACAGATTTGATCCAAAAACCGGGCACTTGCAAGGAATCGCCCTTGCCCTCCTCAATCACCACAGCTACCGTCTTCATTTGGCCTCATGGAAACGGCTTTCGCATTTATGTGTAAAATCGTCATTTGCAGAAGCTAACCGGATTCATTTAAACGAGCCTTGAATCTACCAACTTTTGACATGGGGGCAGTAGTGCAAACTCGTGACTGCCTCATCTGGAAGACATAACCATTGATGAAGGGCATGCGATCGTGGGAAAAAGGATTGCATTCGAGAAGTCTTTCGTGGCGAAGGCTTTAGGAAATGCAAAACTGTAACTCGTTTAGTGAATAATCTAACAAAAGGAATGGTTTGTGTGTTTATTGTAAGGGGCAAATGCACCGAGCGCCGGAATCAAAAGTACTCTAAGCGATGCAAATACCCGATTGGGCGATTTCGGTGAAGGTCTTATCTTCACTGCCATATCAAGGATGCCTGCCTTTCACAAGAAATCGCCTCCAACTGCACCGATCTTTTTTTAGGAAGCATGCAGAATTTTGCCAGTCATTGTAAGAGCCCAGTTTTGAAAGGCTAGAAACTGCAGGATGTAGTTATATGGATCTTCCAGTTCCGCCTCCAAGCTGGCCTTGTTAATTGAACAGGTAGAAATGGGCAGTGGCTGGAAATGCGTGTAGATAGGAGGAGAAAGGCTGGATGCACTGATTGGACTGGCTAGGCAAGCCTTGGGGGATTAATTATTAACGAAAATTAATGACAGGCTAATAGTCGCATCAGAACGCGAACGAACTCCAGGATTGGGCAAATGCAAATGGTAAGCGAACGGGTAGTGACAAGCGACGTCGGAATTGAAACTCTTCTCGCCTTTTTTAAATAAAAAAATACTTCCACCAAAAGCCCACATGCTTTGATAACATTTGCTAATTTTAAAATAAGTTATTCCCTAAGACGCGCTCAACCGATGTAAGTGTTTACCTGGTACTTCGCTCCCACGAAAGAAGTGTCGCCAATCTGTCGCAAAAATTTTCAGACAAAATGTAACCTCTCTGTGTTTTGCTCCTGTCAGTACTGAAGGAACACCAAAAACGGCTTGATTTCTCACAAACGATTTTTGACCAATCAGAAAACGGAAAATTCACCAGAAAATTAGCCAGAATACTATGCTGAAAAAGATTCCGTAATAAAAATGACAACTATTTTCCCATCTAAAAGATATTTAGTTTAGTAAGTTATTTGCTCCAAATGTGGCAACTGACTTTATCTATTCATATTTCCACTTTCGCTACCAGCGTCACATAAAAGTGACATGTGCACTTCATTCAGATTATGACAGCTGTTTTCACCAACTCGTGTATTACAAGGAGATGAGTTGAAATAAAAGGGGGCAAAAGAGCTGCACAATTTTTTTTCGAATCATGAAAAATGATTATTTTTTCCTTTTTTTTACAATTTTTGACATTACTAAAGCTAGGGAAAGGGTGGAACATCGGGATAGCTGTGGTGGTAGTCTATTTTTCCCCTGAAATTCTGCTACCCACAGCCGTTGCCATTGGATTCACTCCATAAGTTTTGGCCTGTACGAAATTTAAACTCAAGGCGCAGATGATTTGTTTGAGAAAAACCAACTCCTTAATAGATGTGGGAGTTTCATGGGAGCAAATAATTCATCTCCCACTCTTCAGTGCTGGCTTCAGTCATTTGCCATCTGAGAGGGCAGGCATTGTTGGGCAAAGGTTAGCCTTCATAGTGGAATTGTTTACATTTGGTTTTAATGATGTCAAAAATGTATTGATACCCCCATGTAAAGTGCGTCCTGGTGCTGGCAATTCAAAGAGGCTTTAGCTCTTCAGAGCTGTCAAGTGAGTGCCTAACTTTACCTAATTTTCTTTTATTATTAATAAAAGGGAAACGATGTATTTCCTGTCCAATAAGAAGGTTTATAGACAATCACGGAGACAATGCCCCTTCGTATTGCTCCAGAATATTCTTGCCACCTACCAAGCACAAAATGATGGGTTACTGTTATTTGCATCACCGACAAACTCTCCGGTAGGTATTTCCTAATTCATCTGGCGATGGGTAAGTTGTGTGACATTGTGGAATAGCAGTCTTCCTCAACTAAAAAGACACATTAACGCTGACTAAAGATCAAATTTTAATGTTTTCCATCATTACTAAAAGCATAGCAACCTTGGAAGCTCCAGGATTCAAACAGGGAATGGGGGTTGGCAGGGCAATATACGCGTCCGACATTCAAAATTTTGACCCTGTGTAACCTTAATTGACCCTTCACTTTTGCTATTTAAAAGCCTCTAGAAAGTTGAAATAAATGACCAAATCATTAAATGACCATAAAATAGTGAAGGATTGAATAAATTTTGATAACCGTTCACTCATCATCCAGTCAGCCTGTGTAGACGAGACAATTTATTTCAGTTATCTTGTAACATTCTTTCCTAATATTTAAAATACTTTTTCCTCATAAAAAAGGATGTCAGCAAAATCTTATTAAAATAATCCCCAAGATGAAGAAATGTCAAAAGGAAAACGAAATCCTCCGGTTGATTAAACGATCTACCACATTGATTTGACTTCACAATTCGGTTTGAAAGGAAGTCAATTTTTGTCACCAACGCTTCCAAATTTGGGCCTTGTCACTCTTGGCAACCTGTCTAGTCCATGCCATCGCAGTAAATACAAAATGGCATTTCCAAGTGGTTTAAAAAGGCCTTACTCACCCAATCATGGGTTTGACATGACCCTCCGGTTTTACGTCACAACCAAGGCATGTCACAGTGTGCCTTAAGTTATCATACCACAGGATGGACATAAACCTGTCCACTCCCTTCAAATGCCCCCTTTAAAATGTGTCCATGAAATAGAGTTAAACAAGGTTAATTAATTTTTAGTGCCTTGACCGTGGCAAAATCACAAATCCAGGCCACAAAAATAGAGGTCATACCGACACACAAAGGAGACCTTGACTTCGTCTAGTAGCTAACTCAAAGCTGAAGGAAAAAAATACTTTTAATATTTCCCGACGTCAGTGAGTGACATTTAATGAGCTAACACTAACCATCTATCAAATTTTATTTCATAGTCCAGCATTTTAAACGACAAATTTGGATATATGTTATGTTCCAGTCCATTTTATAAAAATCTGAAATTTTTACTTTTGATGTGCTGTTGTCTTCGGTAATTATGGCTGCAGTATTATCATAAAATTGGTATGTAATTATCCTTAAAGCCATTTAATGTCAGCGATTTAGCTGCAGTGAGAAAATAAGGATAGCATTATTAACTAGAGAAATGGATAGCTTAATTTTTCATGTCCTTCCTAACTCACCCACAACTCGTCTCTAGCAGCGATCCTTCTGGTTGCAATGAAGCCATTCCGAAATCAGCAACTCGAATGTTTAGTTTATCATCCAGTAGAAGGTTCTCCGGTTTTAGATCCCTGTGACTAAAAAATTGAATGAATGCAGCTATTTCATTGCATGATCAAATGACAAAAGCTTCATTCACAGAGTTCGCCAATGCCTAACCAATGGTAAAGAAGCAATAGGAGAGATACGTAAACGTTATTGTGCAGAAAACAAAAATTGACAGTCTACTAAGTATCTTCTGTTTGAGGTGTGTTCTGGTCTGGCCAGTCTGGAAGAGAGACTCACCCCTATAGTAGATTAAACACACCCTCTGGGGTGCAAATAAATCGTACTGTTTCGATCAGTTATTACTAAAGAAGTATTTATGGAAGTCATAACAGGTAAATTAGCATTCAAAGCACCGCATGAGCCATGAGTTCTAATGTTCTCTGGAACGGACTTTAATTAAAGATACACACTGTCCAAACTTTTAATGTTCTAGTCAACAAAATAAATTAAAACTTGCATTGTTGCATCTCAGCTAAGGTGATTTTTGCTACATAAAAACCGTTAAATGTCTGTGAAACCTATATCAGACGACACCTTTAGGTTCTTTAGCAACAATAAAGGTGGTTTCATGCATATCAGAATTAAAATAACTAATAATTTAAAATTTTACTACCAAATGATGAAGTTAAAAATATTTCCCTATGCAACTCAACGCAAATTGTATTTGTAGTTGTTGTAGTACAAGATTTGAGGCCAAATTAAAAAATCCAATTCTAAACAGACTCAAAACTTCAATAAGATAAACTTTAAATAGAGCCATACATTAGGTAATTCATTACCTAATATTTGAAATAATTCCAGAAGTAAGCAAAATTTTTCTTTGATTCTACAACTACTTACCATATGCAGTGACTATGACAAAAGTCAATAGCTGATATAATCTGCTTAAAAAATTTCCGAGCTTCTTTCGTTGACAATCGGCCTTTGTTTACCAAGTAATCAAATAGTTCTCCTCCAGAAACGTGTTCCAAAATAAGGAATCTACCATAGACTCATTGTAATCATCATTACAAGTATCTTTTGTTTTCATAGACATCATACAGACCGAGGACATGAGGGTGTTCGATTAGCTTCATGATTGCGATTTCACGTTCAACTTTCTGTAGAACGTTATCACTTAGTTTTTCACGATTAACAATCTTGACAGCAACTTTCCGACCACTTATGCAGTGAACACCTAATTTTACCAAACCTTAAATTCATTATCAAAAATTTAGAACCTCTATTACCAGTTTGTCCTTTACCAAGCGTTTTCTCCAAGCGGTAAGGACCAACGTACTGATCCTCCCTGGCCTGCCCACGCCGAGACATTGTCGTTCAAGCAAAATCAATCCTTAATTTTGCAAATTTGTAAGATTAGAAATTTAGTGCTTTCGTACAGATGATATTCCTGTTTTGCACAGATACATTGGCACGAGTATCTCAAAATACGCACAAATTATACTTTGAGGGCAAGTGATGCAACTTGATACACTTCAACAAAATAATTCCTACAACATTTTATTCTCATTAAGTTTTTCCCTAAAGAGTTTAAAAGTTTAAAATATAATTGGTTTTATGAGGGTCTACAGTTCAGTCAATCAAGCATTAGGAATAAATCAGGCTAACGCAAAGAAGTAGAAAATTTGGGTTTCATATTCATGTAGTTAAATTAAGTTTTGTTAATATTGTGCACTCATGAGTCTTAAAACTAGTGTTATTTTCCAATTTTTTTCTTCGTAAAATATTTGTAAGCATTTATAGGTTGGATAATAGGAGCATTCAGTTCATATAGGCGAAGTACTCGTCTTTTGAAAACAAGTGATATTTTAGAATTTAAGTGACTTTGATTCAATTAGTTGGCATTGTTTGCTTCAGTGTACTAGTAGGAGTAACTGATTATAAAGTCAATGGATTTTTAATAAAGGATACACTTAAAGCAGTTGCACAGAGCTAACAGCATCTATTCCACGATGACACATAGTTTTAATTTTTTCTACAGGCCGTACATCCTGGCTCCATTTGGAAGGCAGGGGCTGCAAGTGTACGTAAGCAGTGTCATGAAGGGGTTTCGTGGATCTTCCCGGTAGTTCAAACCAGGTGTCGCTTCACATCAGTAACAACCTTTTACGGAGCAAAAAGTAGAGATAAGCGAAAGGGAGGCTGTAACTTGTAGCTTTTTGTTGGGTCTTTTGCAAGTTCAGTCATCTTCAGCAGATGTTTCTCTCCCGTAATGTTAACGATTGCTAATCAGACAATGAAACCGGGTTTGCTTGCCACTGCCACCAGTGTAGCACTTCAGATCGACCTTGAAGTTGTAATAAGTCGAATTTGTGCAGAAAAACGTACGTTAATAACATTGAGAAGAGCTACAGGGCTACTAACACAACCTGAAGGTTATTCCACCGAGGAGAAGCACTAGCTGCGGGGGCTCCTATGTCCGGCTACTTCAACATACTGTTAGGCATTTATCAACCTACCGCAAATAAATTATCTTCTAAGCTTCGTTCCCGACGTTCCATCTTGTCGATCTCCCACATTGGCCATCACAGTGTACATGGGTTTTCAAAAACTCCCCCCAAACTGGAAACGTCAATCTCTGAGTGTTCTTTCGAGTGAGAAGGATATTTCATCCCAACATTACTGACGAGACTCCATAATCCCAATGTACCGGTCCCATACCTCTCAGGACCAGACCACGCTCTCTCTCGTACGTCAGTAGCTATCCGTAAGGACACTGGAGTGAAATCAGAACCACCCAATAAAAGACACCATCCAAAATAGTTTTGCGGGTCTAATGCTTTCCACTTTTTAATCCTTGACACTTTGCTCCTAGTTCAGTGCTGCTGTTAGCCCATTTCTTTATCCATCCGCCTCTCCATCCATTTGTTTACCTGGGTTCCATACAGCTGGTAGAAACGTGCGAGAGGTCCCACTTGATCACTAAATTGGCATCTTCACACAGGCACAGTAGACAGCTCCACAGCGAATGACTCCAAGTGATTCGAGTCTATTGTCAATTCACTTGTTACTGGCATTTCCACATAACACGGGATCGGGTCATGGCCAGATAGTTGTCACTCCTAACCCATCAGAAGCAGATTTCACGTTAAGGTGTGGCATTCGCCCACAGGGATCAGGGCAGATGTACTTTTGGATTGGTTTTGCTTGCCGCTGCCACCAGTGCAGCGCCCTGACTCTTCCCCGAAGACGTGATAAGGCAAGGCAATGTGGCAGACCATGTATCACTAATGTGGAGAGGAGTTGAGAGGCTATCAACATGACCCGAAGTCCACTTCGCCGCGGGGAAGTGCAATCCGATGGAGACTCAAATGCCCACGTAGGTCAACATACAGTCAAACACCATCCCGAACTTCTAGATTGTTCCATTCCTTACTTCGCGAAGAAAGTGGAATAAACGCCTCGACCACCGCCTTTACTCGGTTTGTCATTGCCACACCCGTAATTGAGACAGTCGTCAGGTCTCCACAATGCATGTCATTGTTCAACAAATCTAAATCGATGCTCGCGCAAATTGCACAATGGTGGTGGTTGGGGCAGTGACACTGGCAGTGGTAAAGGTTTGGTTCCGGTAAGAGAATGGTGTAAAATTCTCGATGCACGATAGCAGTACAGGTGGCGGTGGCAGCATCGGAGATGGAAACCAAAAATGGCGCATGAAAGACGATTCAAAAAGTCAGGAGTGGTAGGGGAGGAAAAAGGGAGGAGGAGGAGGGGGGGAGTTGAAACAGACACATCCGCTAATCGGCACCGGGAGTAGGGTGGAGCAAGAAGTGAGGGAGCTCACCGCACCGAGTCAGCGGTGCAGGTGGACTGCGATGATGGCGGAGGCGACTGTGGAGGCGGTGAATGCGATGATTGTGAATGGGAGAAGTCACAGGCTTGATAGAAAAGAATATACGCCGAATCCGAGGTCTTTGAAGCCTCTGAGGTGGTCCCAAAGAAGTCACGGATGTTTGCTGGGTCAATTTTCTACAAAAGATAAAAAAATATACACACTCTGGTGTCTCTTTGTCATCAATTAGTGGATTGGTGGGAATTTTTAATACCCATTGAAAGATGGAGAAAATAAGCTATTTTAAAAGTAAACATGCTCTTGAATCGCAGATCTTTGCACGATAAACGGGCATTTCATCGCTGAGGTCATCAAAGCAGCCCAAGAAACCCATAATGGGCGAACTTAAGAAGACCTACGTCGACGTATTCGTCATCAAAGAGGAGCCAAATGCCATCGGACTTGACCAGACTGATGTAGTGGCCGCGGTTTAGCCCCGAACCGGAGTGGACTACCACAGCCATGAGCTCGTACAGCTGGTCCGGATTGCTCGCATCGTCAGACTAGCCAAAAAAACCGGATAAAAAGACGGGTGAACCGTATGCCCGAGGCGTAGTAAAGGTAAAGGAGTAAACCAAGTCAGGCGTTAATTGTCAAACAGTCTTGGGAACACCTCCACAAGGGCAGAATCCGCAGGCGATTTGGCGGGGCATGACTCCACTTTTAGGCAAATTTCCCAACAAAGTAGACTTGAACAGTACTTCGGAAATTATTTTTTCAAAAGGAATTCAAATAGGAAATCCATCAAAATTCCAGAAAGGAACAACCAGTGTTGCAATCAAGCGACTTCTCGTCGATCTTTTTTCCTGTCTTGCGGTTGGTTCCATTACATCAAACACCTCGGTGATGGGCAAAACTGAGGTCATGCTTTAGTTGTACATTTAAATATGTAGACTCATCACCCTCCTCGGATTTCGGCCAACATCCAAGTGGCATGGTATCCTACCTATACCTAGGACGCCCCAGCCCTTATTTGTTAATAATAAACTCCTCCAAACTGGTATGCCCTATCACATAATCAGGGGTGACTCACGGTGCTACATTTACGGCAGTGATAAGCAAACCCAGTTCAGGTGAAAAGATCCTGAGAGAAGGCATACGCTACGGAGAACTCAACAAATGAGGCTGATTACAGAATGGTTGAAGTAACGGTGCTAGCTAAAAGATTGAAGTCTCCAAAAGATGTATGAAAAGATGCAAAATTTTACACAAAAAACCAAAGACGTTAAGCTCCAATTCGTCTTCAGGAGCACATAATGGGATTGGGAAGGATGATGAGGGGATTTAAATAACCGATTTCCTTGCGTAATCAAAACACATTGATTCAGAAAGGTCCTGAATGGAAGCAGAGTAGTCCTATTCCACATCGCAATAGCTAGTATGTTGGCAGAATGAACTCCAGATGACCTTGTTACGATATGCAAAAGTACCATGTGATGAACGTAGATGACCGATCCTAATACGCGTGCAGAACAAACGTTGGTTCGCGGACCAGTTGGTTGATTTGAAAGTACTAATAGCTGAGGATCAAACAGGATCGTGTCTTTGAATCAAGATGCAAAGGCGAAACAACAATGATGGAACTCACCGTATTGAAAAGTCGAAGCTCCTGAGGGAATGGAACATAGTAGGAAAGTTTTATAAAACGGTTTGCATTCTCGGAGTACTTGAACCTCTTCAAATGAAGCGCCAAAAGCTCAGGTAGTCGTTTCACTCGCATTCTGGAATGCAAAAAATAAAGTGTAGAAGAGGCATAGACAGCCCCTCTTCCGACTCTTGTATGGCAAGGCTTACTAATCTCTGAGCTGTGCTATTATCAAAGGAATTTGGGCTTGTCATATGGTGCCCGAGTAAATCCACAAGAGCAATGCCAGCAAATGTACAGTTGTGTGGCTGCGACAGCGACCACGCAATCTATATCATCCTACTCCTGACTGTTTCTCGGATGACAGAAAACCAGAACTCCCTTATTTGTTAAGGCAAGCTTCGGAAGAAGTCTTCATATAAGTTAATCAAAGGAGCAACAGCTAAGTTATTTAGCTGACAACCAGTGTCTAATACTGTGGCAGAAGTTACCTCTTGTGAAACTTTACAAAGAGTTGTACTTCCTATGTTCGACTTACTAAAACTGTAGAAGGGTCTACATTGTAGAATCAGTTATTCTCTTTAACCAACGACTCAGTTAGAGGCCTAATTTCCGAATAAAAGAAAAGAAGTAACAAAGAACCTTTTCTGAGCCTCTTGTTTGCATCGGCAGACTTCGCAATAATACTTATTTTCAGATTGAATAGTCTCAGTGTTGGAGAAGCACTGTAGACAGTTTGTGATGCTTGTATACTGCTTAATGTCTACGGAGAGGTCCAAAAAGTCCTCATCTTTAGTGCGGACAGTCTCGCAATTCAGGCATCTAGTCTCATTGGTCAGGGTGCCCTGGAAAATCTCGTGTATCCACGTTCGTGTGTTCTCCCCTGTATTGAGGTCAGCATCTCCTCCTGTCGAGCTTCCCTTCTTCACTGCCTCTTCACTTGCATTTTCCGCTGCACGGTTTAAGAGGTGAATACAGAAAAAAAGCTCTTTTACCTAGTAAAATGTCGGCGATTTGGTTAAGGAGGTAGTTCAAAAACTCGTGAGCGTCCTGGGGTAGATAGTTGTCAAAGAGAACTAAAATATTATGGTCCAACATAAAAAATACCATTTTCCCGTTTCAGCCGCTGGACAAACTTTTTAGGCGGGATTTGACCGACCTTCTTCTTTTTGGTAGTCACTGCATAAAAGAGGTCGGCTAGGCAACTAAGCAGAGTCTCTTTCTTTTGACCTTTGCTCTGTTGCCGATATAGAAGGACTCGATTCCGGAAGGGTTTGCAGAAGAAAAGTGCTTGAAGGACAGAGTTACAGTAGCAGGTGTTGCCGAACTGAATTTGAATAAAGGAAAACGCTAGCTTACATTCACGAGACCGTAATAATGTTCGTTTGAGGGAAATTGGTCCTTACCAATTTTCTTTTCCAGATGGGAAGGATTCGCACCCTAAAAGCAAAACCAAAATCAACTACTGTGGTAAAAACACAATAAGCTGCTGAGAAATGAGGCCCGAATCCTAGTAGATTCCACATCATGATTGCCGAAAATGTGTAATTCTAACACTTATAACCAAAGAGTGTTTCATTTTTGCTCAAAGCTGTAAACACTTAAATCGGCATACATGTTGTATAACTATGCATATAAGGGAAGCAATCATGCAATGATCACTGGGTATTAAATGAACATGGAGTCTACCAAAAATATGCAAGAAGTCAAAAGATTAATCAGCTGAGTTGGGCAACAAACTCCTATAAATCAAGCAGGAAAACCAAAGCCCGGTTTCAATTAGAATAAAAGCTATCTTTCTAGAAACCATTGTTGTAGCACATGTAGAATGTGAGCCGGTTATGAGAAAATACAATAAACACTCTTTAGGTCTGCAGTGCGTGATTTACGACTAAAAAATAAGCTGGCTATTAATATTTCCACTCACTGCAATGTTAAAAGTGCACAAGTCACACAAGAAACCTGCACTTACCATCAGTATTTCAACGAAATCGAGAAAAGCCCAGCGTCATCACACACTAACAACGACAGAGGAGTGTGCGACATGCAACCTTGAGACAATTCAAGGTAACATTGGTTTGACTAAGAGCTTGGAACAACTGATAAAGTTTTGACACATTTATTCTCCCTTCTTTTCAAAAAGACGGTGTTTTTAAAACTTCAAGATTACTTTCAAATTTGTGCAAGCAGTCAAAATGAAAATTTGCAACGAAAATATTCGCTTTAGACCAATTCAATGAATGGTAGTATTTGCAGTTCAAACAAATTATTAATGCTTGTGTAAATGCTAAATTATAACTTTATATTTCCAGAACTAAAGTGTTATTGTTCAAGGAGATCAAATAAACTTGATTAATACTTTATATAGAAGTGTTTTTTGATGATATTTCTAAGCTGAAATAACCCAAGAATGTTGTGTAAGATTGCGAAAAAATTTCTACCTTTGTATCGATATGGGAATTTGACGCCAAATATTTAACAAGTGGGTCTCGTTTTTATTACGCAACCTTGTTTTCTGCTTCAATGTGTTAAACTTTATTTCAATTTTGCAGAGATGTTACATATCTTGTAATAGATTAAGTTACCTTTTTAAATATTAACTAATCTCCAATGTGACCTCATGATTGCCCTGAAGCCGAAAGAAAGCATAGTATAAGTTCAGAATGGATATTTTCGACGTACAGCAGTGTTTGGCGCTACTGTCATGGCCTAGGGGCCGGACCCCACGACAGAGGTGTAAATCCAATTTCAGAGACTTTTTCTGAAGACGAAAAAAGACTATTTTATTGTGGAATGCGTATTCAGCCCACAGAAGTGTAGCGTCCTGAGACTTCCCTCAAAAGACGAAAAAAGACAGTGATCAGACAGAATATGTATTCAGCGCAGAGAGGGTGTCTGGGCTATTGACATGGCCCGAAGGCCAGCCTACCCAGCGAGGTACATGAGGGTTAATTCAAAGTGCCGAAGGATAAACCACCATCGTATTGCAGAAGGGCTTGGAGGTCAGGCCTTCCTGCAAGAAGCAGTGACAGAGCACCAAGTGGTCCTTTTTAAAAAATGAAGAGCTATGCGAACTGTTCACGTGTTACAATAATCACTTATGAATTGGGACACATATAAGTGGGCGGAAATTTCATCCGGTTTTCGCAGTAAAGATGCAGGCTTTGCAACATTGCGTGGCAATTCTTTCATTCCTGTATACAGGGACAAAGGGTTCTGAGCGCGGTCAGAAAGTTGCTTTCAGATAAATAATGAAGCTTGCAGAAATGAGATCTGATTCCGCAGTATACCTAATCAACTTGATCCTGCCATCTCATACTTTGGGCGATTTGGGCGGAGGCGCAGAAGGTAGAATTCCTATTGGTTAAAAACATGCCTGTCATCCATTGAACAAATCAGATTCCAATACGAAGGGTAGTCCTTTATAGAGCTAACTGTCCTGACCAATCAGCAAAGAGCACGATTGCCTCAACAGTAATGACAAGTATTAATAATACCCTCATAATAATAGGCATGCAACCTGGATATTCCAAGGACCTCTTGGACAATTTTGGCGGGTCTAATGGTGAAAGTTTCGCTGATAGATATATACCCAATTTTGCGAAAAATCCCGTTCGCAATGCAACGTGGAATCCACCAATCAATTCATGTTCATATTCTCCTTGTAGTTACTCATTTCTGGAATACAAACAAGGTTGGTTTGAAAGACGTTTTATTTTATTTTGCTTGCCATATTTATGCCTATTATAGAGTCTGAAAATAGCCATGCGACCCATATCTGGGTTTGGAATGCAGCCCCTTTTTCACCTTATATTTTGTAATCAGTTTTTGTACAAAGAATTTGCTCAGTGTTTGCCATATAATATTCCTCACATAAGAAAGTAGGCCGTATTTTTTTCCCTTTGGAAGATAAAAGGATTCTACTGATGCATAACTGTAATGCACCTCTGAATGTTGGTATCTGAGGTCGAGGCCTATTCGTAACGGCTGATTTCTGCTTAGCCTCTGACCTCCGTAACTTCACCATCTGTTTCGTTAACAAAAGATCATTAACTATTCATGAACTCTGCATATTCGCTTCACTGAGTAAGTTAGACGACTGAACAATGGAGTTCAGGGGATACGGAGGGGGATCCCACCTGACCACTCAAACGGAAACTGATTGGGAGGGCTGATAAGCCAACAATGGGCACAATAACTTCCTTATAAGGAATAAATTAAGTCACTTCAAATGCGGTATTATTTATCACCCGTTTCTACAGTTCTTTCTCGGAGTGTCGGAGAAGGACTGTAGATTATCTGACCTGCAACTGTAGTCGACATGACTTGGTGTTTACCAAAAGTTTGCAAGAGTTTTCTGTGAAAAATTATATCATTGTCTAATTTGAAAATCGGTATCGGTTCACTAGGAGTAGTTATAGTTGTCGCATTACGCAACTTGTCCAAAATATCGGTATTCCTTATTATACACCCATGAAGTTTCTGTTCAAGCTGCATTGCCCAAAGGGTCATTAGGAAGCTCTTGCTTGGCAACTTCATTTATCAAATTTATATTAAGTTATTAAAAATCTATCTTCCATATTAGATTAAGTGGTCACTTTAAATTATCAGGTCAAAATCGCAGTTCAGATAAGGGGAATTTTGTTTTGTTGTTTTGTTCTAAAGACTGATTGAAACATAGTCAATTGCAAACAAACGGTGAAGCTTAAAAGGATTAAAATTCAGCTGGATGAATAAATTATTTGTAAAGCGCGTGGATGGAAAGCGTACAGGCTGTTGGCATGGCACTCTTCATTGTGTTCGCCACTACTTTTCTATTCTCCTCACGTCCCATGCACGGAAAGACGACGATAAGATTTGAAGACTGCAACCTGTTGTTCCTCATGTCCTCTTCACACGAAATGAAACAACAAATCTTAAATGTAGTTTAGGCTGCCCCCTCACTTACTGACTCCCCTGCATTCTGTGATGAGAAAATGACGCTTGTACTTCTTCCTGTACTCATATTGAGTGTTACGCCATCCTCACGCCACCCATTCCAGACTTCCACTGCACTGACCACTCCCTCTACACAGGAATAGGTCTGCCATGTGTGTGGTGCACTGCACACGGAACTGTTCACTAGGAATTGTTTACTGGCTGGTTGGAAACCGATGCTACCCGATGACAAGCAAGAGTTAATTTTTTTCCTACTCAGCCTTCCCTTGGTTTCATTCAACACCACCATCGTCATCATAGTTATCATCATTATTATCAGGAAATATCATAAATTGCACGAGTAACATAAATGACTCCTTCCATTGACTTTTTAATCTTCGCCTCCGGTCTCTCAGACCGTTTCCATACCTTATACCACAACAAAGTGTACTAGTGAGAAGATTTGCACTTTTCTTAGGATAGAAGGATGAGAGATGCCTCATCATCTTCCCTACCCGATTGCATTTACATTCACATCCGACTTCTCATCTTTCCCATCCACTTCCTCCATTTCTTTCTTGCTCAGTAGCTGAGTCGCCCTAACATGTGACGATTTCCATCCGTTCCATTCTTGACTTCATTACATTAACGTATAAAAACTTGATCGCATGATCAGGCCATTAGAAAATAGGTGGACGGTTGGAAGATGATTTGAGGGGGAAGAAGGAAGAGAGGTTCGAGGATGAATGGGGATGCATATCTCTTGCAGCTGCTTCTTTACCCGCCGCAAAATGCCTATGCATTACACCAACAACACACAAACCATAGCAGCTTTTTCGGTCACCTCATACACACATCCAATTTGAGAAATTAGTGCTTGTTTTTAGATCGGCTGCTTCTCCCCCTAGAGTTCCCTCCTAAATTTCTTGCGGAATAAAGTGATTTATGCGCGTCGCATGGGTCAAGATCCATCGTAGCGAGGTCTTTATTCCTAAAAGACAATAATTTCTACTTGATGCTATGTTGTCTAGTGGAGAGTGAGTCTTCTTAAAAGTAGTAATGAAGCATCTCAAGACAGAAGAGTGGTTGTTTATTAGTGCACAAAAGAACTGGGAGTTCTTCGAGTGGAAGGATGTCCATTCCTTCAAGACATTGAAAGGGCATTCCCCCGTCACTTCTGCTTCGGTAATGACTAGTCCTCCCGTAAAATTGCAGCTAACCACGAAACGGCTATTCTTACTACTCCGAGTTTGTGATCTTTTAAAAGCCAATTGTCCAAGCCTCTGCCACTAATGGAGGGTTCCTCGTCTTCCCTGAAGTTGTGATTAGGCATACCAGTATGGGTGAGGTCTATGTGGGTAAATGGATGTGCATGCCACTCAGATGTGGGCATAAGTGACCGAATGTGAGCAGCTCCTACAGTTGTTACCAAATGACATATTTGAGGTATAATGCCAAAGGCGTGTCAATCAGATTAATTCTCCTTTTTAGTTGAATGTCCAGCTCAATTTGCATTCCGAACACGTCACGACAGTCTGACATTACAATCAAGCGTGATTAGTGGGGATGGTGGTCCTAAAGCCGCTGCCGCCACCATTACCATGAAACGTCCACGATCGTCCTATTCCAGTCTGCAATTGGTAGAATTGGAGAAGGAATTTCACTATTCTGCCTACCTTACCCAACAGCGTCGAATGGAACTGGCTGAACAGTTGAACCTTACTGAGATGCAGATAAAAATTTGGTTTCAAAATCGAAGGATGAAACAGAAAAGGGCTTTTGCTTCTTCCAATCCACCCTATTCTGTCAATTTATCTCGAGGATTTACGTAAGTCCAATGGTTTATGGCATTGTGCGCGTCCTCTACCACCGAAATTCTTAAAGTATTAACTTGGAAGACTGTCAAATTTAGAAGCAAATTGGCAGTCGGTGGAATCCGTTGACTATTTGGTAGGTACCCAAACAGGTAGAAGCATTGAAATAGGTGTCATGATGCAAAACATCAAACCGACCACAACTGACTCCGAATTCGCAAAACTTTTGTCATTGAAATGAAGTGTCTTTGATTTGACAAGACTTAAGCCAAGGCAACCAGGAGCTCCCGTTCCCCACTAGACAACATGCCATCACTTGGAGACCACTGTTATTTCGAAACGAAATCCCCACCACGACGGATCCTGGTCCAGATATGATGTGAATTTGCCATTTAATTCCACTGGGAACATTAAAAGAAGTTATTGGGGAGAATTTCACCCACCTGATGACAAGCACTGATGTACCGAATTGATAGTATGTAAGAGACGACCAAATAAGTTGGGGTGGTTTGTGAGATGTTAGTGTAATGCATAGTCTTTTCTCAAATAAGAACAAAGTAGCTGACAATTGAATCGCAATTTCATGAGATGTTTTGTCCGTAGAGTTCAAGGGAAATGCAAACCCAGTCACGGTTATTCCTTTCTTTTTCCTTCCTCCCTCCCTTTGATCATTCAACCGTCCACTTTTCATTAAATTGTCTGATCAATTGATAACGCGGTATTCAAGGTAAGAAAGGACATATAGAGTCTCTGCATCCAAAGAATCCCTCTAACAGGTCAACATTTTGAGTAGGAACGTTTTCTTTCAAAGGAAAATTCGTCTCGCATTCTTGATGCCCCCTCACCTTTCAGCTGGATCACTAAATTGGCTACATTTTACTACTTAATTGCGATTTTTTCATCAGGGCGGTGAACAGCTTCCCTGTAGACCAATGAAATTGCAGTTTTAATGTTGTTTTAGGATTCACTATAAAAACTTGGGGTTTTTTGAAGAACAACAATGTAGTCCTCATTAGGCCTTCTTCTGAAAGTCTTTCCACGCTAAGCAATCCACCTAGACACAAATCTTCATCAAAGTATTAGTAAATGATTTTTTTGGCGCGTTTAATTAACCGTCCAAGGCTACGGATTGTGTGAGTCGCATTATTATCGCGTAGGGCCCGTGAAAGTGTTGCGGAGGCCAAACAGCAAGAGGGTGCGGCTAATATCACTATCACTTACAGTGGACCACTTGCGGTAGCTAGAACTGCTACTGCGTCTAAAAAATGTAGGATTTGTCTAATAAAAAGTCATTCTTGATAATGAAGGTACACCAACCGGCTGGTGACAGCCACACCGCACAACTCCCTCCCTTCCAACACCAGACGCCACGACGAAAGCTTAAATCGGTCAGCAACGACGATGTCCCACCCGTATCCGCACTTTCCCATGGAGGACAAATTAAGCGCAAAGAAAAACTATTTACCGGGGAGGTGTGAGTGAAATATCTTTTTCAACTAAATAAAAGGTTAAATATTCAAATGAGTGTGCGTTATTTTAACAAAGAAAAGGATAAAGGGGGCTGATTAGTTTTAAATAGCTAACCGGATGTCGTTTATCATACACTTGTCATTAGACTAATTAGCATAAAACGAAGAGACACGAAAAGGAAGGAGCGTTTAGAGTGGAGTTTAATAAGCCAACAAAGATTGAAACTTTTTGCCTTAATCTTGCTGTAAAAAGAGAAGGATTCGATATTTTAAAGATAATGGTGTTATCGCCACTGTTAATCAAATCCATCAGAATAAATAAAGTTACTCTCATTTATTAAAGGAAATTAAAGTGGGCGCTTTCCCATCCACGATCTCAACTAAATTTCAATAATTTTAACAACATCTACTGCATTTAAAATCCAGTCTTATTGATCTAGTGATTCAAAACAACAGGTAAGTTATAAAGTAAAGTAAATTGTTCCACATCGCATTTGTCATAAAATGGCAAGAACTACAAAAAAAACGCATCAGCAGTGTGGACTTTACCCATAATCAAGGTTTAGAGTTTGACGCTTGATGATAATGATGTACCGTCTTACTAACAGTGGTAGTTTAGTGGACTTAATGTGAGGGATATTTTCTATAACTCGAATGGATAATAAAAACGCATTTCATCAAATTACCAACACGTAACCTTCCTAGTGATCAAATGCTTTGAGTCTGCCCAGATTGATCACTTGCCCTGAGGCATACCTCTCTCGTTTTTTGCTAGCGAACGATGTATGTTCTTTGAGGCGTTTCGGCTTATTCCGACTTCGGGGAATACCCGAATAATATCTTCGGAAAACTGGCAAAAGACAATACAAAAGTACCTCTCTCTTGATTTCAGTGACTAGAAACCATACCTTAACGGAAAAAAAAAGAAGACCATCACTGATGTATGAACCATAAATGCTTCTAACGTGAGGATGAAACGTTGCACAGATCCAAAGGGGATTGTTACAATTCCTATTGTTTTCGGAGCTTGTGTACAGATGCTAACTAATTGATTAAGTGAAGGCACTTTTACTTCATAACCAGCTGAATGCAACTCAGGTTGATAGATCTAGAGATAGATGGATGGGTGTATGAATATACCGGGTTTTGATAGATGGTTCAGAGGAGAGTACTGAAATGAGAGCAAGGTGATTAGGAGTAACAGATATAAAGCTCTAGTTCCACGAAACTATTTTAAATTCTGCTTTTTACGAAATAGTTGTTTTAGGGCAGCTTTTTTGACTACTACCTACTCTCCTTGAAGAGCATGGTCAGCTCAATTCTCCCGCTTCGAGAGAGTTTACAAAGAGAATAAAACTCAGAATGTAGCAAAATGGCCAAAATTCTTTAGTGTAGCGCCTCAAGACTTCCCTGAAGACAAAAGAAGACATAATACTCGGGTGGAACATAAATATTCGGTATACAGAAAGTACTGGGGCTACTGACACAGCCCGTAGGCCAACCCACCCTGCGTGATGCAATGGTCATATCAAAAGTAGCCCCTTACCAAGACGGGGAGATAAACAACCATCGTAATGCACTAGTATTTTTAAAATGAAACGCCTCCCCAGGAGCTATAAATTTCAAGGACATACGTTCATATTTTGCAGAAGGTTTTTTTGTTCCAAGAACGTTGCAGCGGGCGAGGCGGGTTGGCTGACAGAGAAGAGCATAGAACACTACACTCAGAAAGCAAAAAAAGGATAATGGTAACTTGCTACTCTGTTTAACTGCTTGAGACCTTGACTCCGTGCTTATTGTGAGTTTACTCTTCAGCGTAGGGTTAAGGAAAATTGGTAGCTTCTTTAGTCCCGTACTCTTCAAAACCTCACGGTATACACTAAACTTTGACGTTTTTAGGCTTAAGGAAGGGTTTAAGTTGTTAGAATCTTATGCTGTAAAAAAGGGATCTGATTATGTATCAGTGAAGCTCATCTATCCAAAAATGTAGCATTAATCCTGGACCTAGTTATTCGCTAAAAGCAATAAGTCATTTTTGTAGTGCTCCTGTACCTTAGTAGCGTTCTCACTTTGCAAACTTATGAAAGTGCGTGGGTTAAATAGGAAAATACGAAAATACAAAAATACAAAAAATTTGCTTAAAGTTCCCTGCATTCTATTTTAAAAACAACCCTGACACTAATCAACTCTTTTTTGCCTGGTGATATTTTGATTTGCGCTATTTAAAACCTGGTCCTAGACGCTCGTTTGAGTTCACTTAATTAAAGTGCGCATTAAGTTCAGCGAATTATCTCGCGCCCTCTGTGGGTTTGGGTGTGTAGGTTATTTGCTGGATATGGCGTTGTGTCGCATCAGTGTTTCATTTGCAAATGAGATTTTCGGTCGTGGTAGGTACCGAGCCTCTTTATTTATTTTCTCACACTTGTGTGAAGTCTTAAAATTTAGTACTGCTCCCACTAAGTATGCTTTGTTTAGCTTTGGTAACTTGAGTTTGTTATAACTCTCTTTGGGTGGTTGATATCGTGCAATCTTAGGTGCATCTGTTCTCTTTTAGTGGCTATCGCGTCATCCCTCTCTAGTCAGATTCTCCAGCAGCGTTCCCGCGGCTATGCTTCCGACCCAATTTCCCTGACTAGTTTGAAACGTGGCACTGGAGGTCGTTCTTCCTTTAATGGATTAGTAGTAACAGTTTTTGGTGCCTCCGGTTACCTGGGTAGACACATCGTTACACACTTGGGTCGAGTTGGCGCCCAAGTCATTGTTCCTTATCGTGGCGATCCCTACTTCATTCGTGATCTTAAAGTAATGGGAGATTTGGGTCAGATCCTATTCTGTGTAAGCACAACATTTCTCAAGGAGCTCATGATTTATGTCGACAAAAATTCATGGGATTCGTGATCTTCTAAACACATGTCTGGACTACGTAGTGATTCCATGTTGTTTTTCAAGAGTGTTTTTGTTTTACTGTATGCTGCCTTTGAAACTCAGGACTATCTTGCATTTAGCTACACCCTTTCTATCGTTGTACTCCTTTTCAGTTGTAACTATTTAACCGTCAAAAGAAATTCGTCGATTTTTCACTCGTGTGCCTGTATGTGTCTGTACCTAACTTATTGTTGCACCTCTATTTTTGCGCTCCCAAGAGTACTGCCATAATATTTGTCGTCTTTATACAGGAGGAAGCAGCCCTTTGAAGTTTTCTACTTCTTGGGTATGCTATGTGTGAACTTGAAGTCCGGATGCATATTGTACCTTTGAACTATTTAATTCGTTAATTGTATAAACCCGAACTTAGGCTAATTTTTCCGTGATTTGTTCACTCATTTTGGAAGAAATTTTTCTCCTACTAATGTCTAACTAAGTAGTGTCGTTATTTGTAGCCTTTTCACCTGGAAGACGAAGAGGCGATCAAGAAGTCCATGCGTTTCAGCAACGTAGCCATCAACTGCATGGGCAAGTTTAATTCCACGCACAACTTCACACATGAGGCGGTCAATCTGGAGGGTGCTGCACGCGTAGCTCGCCTTTCCAAGGAAATGGGGGTGGAGCGTTTCGTGCATATCTCGGCGCTCTCGCAAAGCGCCAACCCCGAGAGGTTTGTCTGGAAGGCCTCAGAGTTCCGTCGCACCAAAGCCCTCGGCGAGAAGGCCGTTCTGTGTGAACGTCCTGATGCTATCATCTTTCGACCTGCCGATATTTGGGGCAACTCGGACCGCTTTCTTTGCTACTATGCCTCTAGAGGTGAGATCTTGCCTTATTTTTTTGACTCTGGAGCATTCGGGTTAGCCAAGGAAGTGTAGGTCCAAGGGGTCTGCAAAATTTGGTTAAATAGAAGTTTAACTACATAACTCTAGTCTTAATTTGAGGGTCATTATTCATGTTTGTTCATTTATCAATGTAATCTGGTGCGTTAGAATCATCAGCGACGCATCTCGTAAATCTCGGTGGGATTTACCTCACCGCATTTTGCACTTATTATTGATATGTACTTTATGAGGATCATAAAGGGGATTCGACCATCCCAGTTTAAGTTTTACTGGCCCAACATGACGCCGATCACTATTATTTTCTTCACCAATTCAAACGCTGCTTAAGAAGTAAAACGACACTTTGCAAAGCAAGAGCATTTTTATTATTTCTGCAAACTCAACCAATCTGTTTGTGCCACGACTTGGCGAAACTAGTTATCATACAATGATAAAGAAAACATTTGTATTTTTAACTGGCATCAGGCGGGAGACTCAGCATCACGTACGCTTGTCGCTGGTTGTGGATGTTTTAAAATTGATCCTAGCAGTAGGGCTGAAAATAAGCAAATTTTGGTTAGGTGAATTAAAGCTTATGGTCACCTCATTCCCACATTCACACAGCCCCTTTTCACTTGACTGATATACATGGCACTGCCTGGCCGTCTATCTGGGTTATTCTCAGCTTCTTGTGAACAGGGGAGCTGCCATTTCTTACTCTATTCATTTTTACATGAATCTTGGGGAACGAATATGAACTGTTTAAACAAACTTGCGCATCGTTGGATTTAATTTACCAGCCTAGATTTTTTGTTATATTTCTTGTTGTACACTTCTGCTTCGTAATTTTTTATTGCTTGTAACGTCTGCGTTGCCTCTTGAAGCCGTCTGTGAACGAAGCTGTTATGCCAGCAAAGTAAGATTGAATTAGATGCTCCGAACTTAGGCTATTTCTAATCACCTACCCTCCGCTTTCTTTCTCATAAAAGTAGAAAGTAATCAGCAAGGAGAGGAGAGACGAAGAGCATCACTTTTTTGTCGATCCGGGACTGTGGTCCTTCTCAAGGCGTGTCCACTAGGGTAGATTGTATGGGCGTCGCCCGTTGCCAGCGGTGGTAGCAGTAATGGCAACAGTTGTACTTCTCTCTTCTGTCAGTTTAGCCCACACACCTGTGAAATGTTGAATTTGGGATGTCGGCGGTGCAATGAACGCGCCTGTACGTACTCCTTAACCCCTCTTCCTCCTGCCAAATCAGCCGTAAGATGGACTGCGTAGGAAGTAACGTTTAAGCAACCTCATTTGCTTCCTTCAAAATGGGTGGCAATTTTTGTAAAAGAAGCCACGACAGAGTCCCCCAAAGCGCAATAAGTCATGAGGAGCGCTTTAGCCTTTATTTCGTTAAAAACTTATGCTAAGAAAGTAAGCACGCTTTGCTCCGTTTTGCTGTGACAGTTAACATTGGTGCCGTAGCTCGTCTCGCCTGACAAACACCAAAGCTGTTCCACACTTTGGACTTGATTTTCTCTCGCAAGGCTTAACAGCAGGCGTTGAATTTTCGATTCTCGCTATTTCATAGAACGATTTGATTTACCACACCCTATTTTATTTACAATCAAGTCCTCCCTTTTTGCCGTTTCACGGTCAACAGTATCGCAACTTTTCATGGTTTTCGAATCGCAGTGACCTGACACGTTGCAGGTGGGGCTATTGTATCACCGTCAGCTCATCTTAAAATATCTTATGATGCACTGCTTAGAAGCATTTAGGAAAGTGGCCTTTTTAAAACGGTTCTAAAATCACTTACAATTGTTTTAATTTGCAGTGTAGGGCTTGTAAAATTATGCGTAATTTTAGACACTTAGTTTAGTCAAATTATTTCACACACCAAGCCTAGCCTCGTTGATACGACAGTTGCACCTTACTTTCAATATGTAGAGCCACCAAGAGGACTCGGCATGTTTTTCAGTAGTGTGTTAAAATTTCACTTCCAAATTACCCAACCACTCCTTGCTACTACTTCTATTTACCTTCTACCTACGTACAACAGAGCGCCGCTGGGCCTATGGCAGCCAACTGCGTGTGTGTCTGTGGAAGCGCGGCCAGAAGACCGTGAAGCAACCAGTTTATGTGGGCGATCTGGCCAAAGGCATTGTGAATAGCCTCACTACAGCGGACAGTCCGGGTAAGATCTACGAGGCCGTAGGCCCCCATCGCTATCGTTTGGATGATCTGGTCAAGTGGATTATCTTCAACTGTCGCTACCTACCGCGCGAGCTCAATATCGGCAGAATTGACCCTTGGTTCTTGTAAGTAAACGTTTTTCATTCATTGTAGACTGACCGATGTATAGTGTGGGTTTAGGCCAAACTGGAGTCCCCATTAATACCCTTATCCGATTGTTTAACTAGTGCCTAGGATTTGTTCGTACTGCTTAATTGTCCCAGGACGCCCTGTTTTACTTCTTTATCAGTGCTGAATCGTTGACCTCCTGCTGCCTTGTGTACGCCAACATTTGGAAATTGTAAATATTCATGTTGATGATTGATTGCATTTACCGTTGCCAAGCCTTCACAGTCTGACATTTACGTGCTGAATGCTGTCCGCAGTAATGGCTGTCGGGGCATGACCACCCCTTCCCTCCCAGGAAATGTGGTCACAAAACTGCCCATGCATGCACCATTTCCGTCGCCTTTAATCTTAACAACGTCTGGGCTGGCCGAGGTCATGTGCACCGGTTATAAGAGGACAAAATTTTTAGTGCCGGCACGACACCGTTCATTTCAGACCTGTAAAATTAAAGTTATAATTTAATTTTAACCTCTCTTTGATTTATTTGACTTACAAGGATAGATTTGGTTGGTAATATTCATCCAGTAGTTAAAATGCAAGACTGCACTTTTTTGTCCCCAAACGCTTATGATTTAGGTGCGATTAGAGGCTGTAAAACTATTCCCATATTCTACAAATTTGATTTTAGTACGGAGGTCACTCAACTCGGTGCCTGTAGGTATTCAAGCCAATCCAACACTGATACTCAGATTTGACTCCATTGAGGCCTAAAGCTCTAAACGAAGGCATAAATCAGTCCTAGAGGCTGTATAAGAAAAGCAGAGTCTTACTGAATCACTTAAGTAGTTTTCACAATCAACGTCTGAGTGTAGTTTGTCGAGTTGATCCTTGTTGGGTAGTGAGCGAATTCATTTACGAATTCATTGACCTTTTAAGGAAAGAAGGCTAGGAAGCCAGAAGTAGGACTTGGTGCAGAGCTATCTACTGGGCATTTAAAAAAGGTTGTGCGACTTTCGGTGTACCTTGTCGCGCTGACTAGATGTAATTTGCAAGCAGCCTGTAAGATGTTTGTATCCCAAGGCACAGGTATACGCTAGCAAATAGACGCGGTGTTCTTTATCTACGATCTTTTCCATTTTGAATTCTGATATGTATAAAATAGCACTTTGAACTGATTGATGCCATTCGAGTTTGTCTGCTTTTCGCATCTACTTTAAAAGGATTGAAGTAAGACGTGACAGCGCAGTTCGCTGCCCAGAAGTGATTTAAATGGTTTGATTCGGGTGAAAAGTAGATGCAACACATTTGGGAAGACTCGTAATTCATGATCAGGATGAAGAATTACGTTTTGCAAATGGAAAAACCTGGAGACTAACTTGCCTTTAACAACCATCAGTAATGTTTAACGTAAGTGATGGGGCAGCGATTCTGGGAAAGCAGTGGAAGGTCTCATTCCTACCGCCAAGCTTACCCGTGAGAGGATTTGCGCTTCAGTTAGGATGGGAGAAAGGGCGATAGTGCCTCAACTCATCCTCTGTATTTCCCTGATGATATTTGCCCCAGCTTCAGGAACTTGTTTGGTAAATCTATATTTTCTAGCAATTTTTAAATGAATGGTAAGGGTGACGTTCCCATTAGAGACTAGAACTCTTCCCACTCTTCTTACAAACTTTTTGGATAAATCATTATTTGGTTGAGAAGGTGACAGCACCTAGTCAAGGTGTGAGTTTGTATCTATTTGGTACATCGGTATAACTGGATAGTTGTGTTACTTAACCTGTGTGGATTTTCAACTTCCGGTCCATTCGTTTACTACCTCTCCCTCCTCCCCGTGCCCTCCCCTCCTTCCATCCACTACCACTTTTTTTCATTGCTTTGTGTTAAAAGCCCTCTTTCACTTTTATGACTGTTCGTTAGCTTTGAATACTTCCTCTCTACCGATTAAATCAGGGTGGGCTGTGGTCGCATTGTATTGCAACTGCCTTCCAATCCACTCAAACCTCGGGGTGTGTGTGTGTGTGTGTGTATGCGTCTGCTTTCACCTCTTGCCCTGCCAAACTTGAAGCTTTCAATTTCGCGATGGAATTTAAGCTGTTAAAATGTTAGCTCTCATTCCATTGACTTTGATTTTCCCTCGTTTTAAACATTTTGTTGGCACGAGATGGCTATCTTTTGTGCTGGGTATGGCTTCCGTCAAAGTTATCAATGTGTTGAAATAAAATCGAGGAAAAGGGGACCATTATAGCCCACAAACTGCATGCTTTACAAAAACTAAAGAATGTACATACCCTCCTCTTCAGATTAAAAACATTCCACTACAACAATTTCATCCCTTTTACATCCAACTAATCTCTTCGCAACGCAATCTGGTGCCACCATTTGTCATGAACTGCCAAAGGACACATGTCACGTTGGTAGCGAACAAACTGCTGTCATTTCTTCAGTCACGATTCGCCTCTCTTCAGTATTTGAGTGATGAAAATTTCTCACCAGACTTATGTTGAAGTAATTAAAGAGGATTTAAATTTTGACTGGGGTTTGGGGCTACCGAAGTTTCTGTCAAGAAGAAAAGTGGCTGTTGTCACTCTCGGGGCCCTTTGTTAATCCTTTTGTAACAATAGAAAATCTGGCTAGCAAATATGTGCTGCTTTAATGAAGCATTTGGGGAAAAAAAAGTCGTCTACTCAACTTAGGTGGAGGTTTATTTTCAACTCTTTTAAAAGTTAATGTTTTGTAGCAGACCCAAAGCTACTCCTAAAGGTGTTATAAATATGAATAAAAAAGTAGCTTCATTGGGACATTGGCGCTGCCGGAGGTAAGCAATCGACCATGTAGGATTTTGCATAGTGCAAGTCAAAGGAGATGCCTTTTGCTCATCTTTTATTACACCTTTGACGTGTATCCTGCCGAGTAGGTGGATCTCAACCAAGACTGGTGTTTGACCTTTAGGAAATGAACATTGTCGCCCACAGTCCACCTCACACACACACACCCACAGACGGGAGGTGTGGTCTTGTGGGAATGGAATGCTGCACTTCTTAGAATGGGATCGTTTGGAGTACGAAAACAAGTGGGCTTGTCAGTAAACAATCTAAACAGCACGCCATATTGCTATAACTTGCATGATTGAACTGAACAACAACAACCATTTGGCGCTATCTGAGTGCAGATTAGTGTTTTATCATGGTTATTTCACCGCTGGCAATAATGCTTCACCCGAACTGCCTCTTAGGACTTTCAGAAGCATCAGATTCACCAATCTGGAAGCTAATTACTAGGAGACTAGAAAGGCTAGCCTCGGAAGACATTCCATTGCAGGAAAATGGAATAGCTTTTCTCGGTAAGATTGATCAGTTCTAAGTTCATTAAACTTTTGTTTCGAAAGGAATTGATGGAAGTTAACAATAATGTTGTTATTTGGGTTGTTGCTATCATGATTGCAAACACATCTATGTGCACGTATGTATTTCGGCTTAAATTCCGGTCGCATACGTGTTCCCGCAGCAAAGCGCTTGGGACAGAAATTGTATTTTAGAAGACTTTTTATCTATCAATAGAGGCTAAACTTTCAGAGTGTTTGTGTGTACCAAAGTACAACCCCGTGCTGTTATTTCTTCCGCCTCCTAGAGCAAGAGTGTATGCGAACGAATTCGTCGCTCGAGTGAATCCGGCCCTGTGTTTCGAACGCCTGGAGCATGACTTCGTGACTGACACACTCTCCGGTGCACCCACCCTCCTCGATTTGAATGTCAAACTGACAAAACTGGAGGATCGTCTTCAGCAAATCGTCTTCATCTACCGACGTCTGAACAACTACTGGGAGGCGGTTGGTGAATTTCCGGAACCACCTAACCCTCCCATTTCCCTCGTCTAGAAGGCTCTCTACGCCTCTTCCCATCTCTCCCTACTTGTAGTTCTCTTTTGGGTTGCCCTAGCTCCCAAGTTAATAATTCAGATCCTTGAAAATAAATGTTTTCGACGCCTTGCTTCTTTCTTTGGGAGTTTGGAAACTCGCTCGTTGTTTTGTTTTTCCCACTCATCTGGGCTAACGCATTTTTCTGCGCACCTTCACAGATGGGAATTCCTGGAATATTTGCGTGCTCTGTGGTTGATCCCGTGGTGGTGGATTGTTATCTTACTAGTTCAGGTGAGGTTGCACTTGTTTTGAACTTAATGGCACAATCTGGCCCCAACGGCCATCAGTTTTAAGCGCCAAAATGGGCGAACAGGGGAAGGAGGGGAGGGGGAACAGGTGTGGATTAACGCCTTAAGGGCAAGGATGCGAGCTTATTCTACGCTATCAACCCCTCTCTCTCTCTCTATCTCTCCATTTCTTCGTACTACTTGGAAAAAAAGTGTTTTTAGTCTGGCATGCCTTAAATACCATTTAATGCACTGCGGCAAGAGGGGTTCGGTTGCTCGTCCCTATCTCGTCTATTCAGCATTTAATAAAATTAGGCAAATAAATTTGGATGAAGCTATTTTGGATTTCTTGCATCATTTTCCCTCACTTTGTTGATGATTTGGTTGTATGTGGTTCTTCCTGTGCCCAGTATTACCAAAATACATCAGTTGACAAAGAATGCTGTAGCGTTACTTGAAAGTGTTCCTTGTTACCATGTCCTCGCCTTTCTCTGTAATCCCAGGAAACACTTTTTAACGCTCTCTGAACATTTTAGAGTGTTGCCTTCTTGCTCACCCCCTCTTGATTGGTTGATATCACATATGAAATTCACCATAAGGCCAAGGTCAATCAAATGTCAAATAGGTGAGGTGGAGACTACTTCATGTTTCCGGTATTCTCATTTACGTGGTCAGCCGTTACGTGTCCACATCTCGTGTTCCTCCTTGTTCACACGCGTTAGCAAATAAAGGCGTCTGTAGCTGAAGTCTTCCTACTAAATGCTCTGATTTGGAGCTCGGCGGGACTCAAACTCACGCATGCAAGTGAATACCAGTTTATTTGATATCCAGGTTACTCTTGGAGGTGCGCAAGTCTGAATCGTCAGCATGGTGGCTGAAACACTGGAGGGTGGGAAGATGCGCGTAGCCAAATGTCCTTCTGTCGTGTTTTAGTTGTCAACTTCGAAACTCTTCGTGATCATCTCTTCTTCGACCATCAAAGCGATATTTGAAGTAGACCGGTTGTATTAAGTTCGTCTATCACGTCCTGCTTCCAACCTGTACTCGTCTAGCGGCAAAATTCCAAGATGTACAGCCGCCTTTTGCGTCTCAAATTTGTGCGCAGTTACATGTCAGGACTTCAAGAGATAGTTTACCATTGCAGTGCAGATGTTTTATCCTTACATGTTACGACACGACTCGATAAGGCGTATATGTCACATATTCGTGACAGTGGGCTCAGGCGTCATGTATGTGATGTCAGTGGTGAACGACTGATTCCTATCGGGTCTCATTCCGTAATTTGGTACTCTTTCTATTGCTATTCTCTTCATACTCTATGACTACCCCCTTCTAACATGTGGACTGAACAGATGTACCGGGCGACTAGATACCAGACCACTTTTCCAATCATCAACTGAATTATTTTCCTGGCCAAATCCTTTTGCATATCAAATGCTGTAAATGTCAAATCCACCTACAAATTGTTTCCTTGGCTGTTCAAATGCACTGTTCCCAATATCGCTGTTGTTGTTGTTGATTTTTCGCCTTTTGTGTCTTCACTTTGTACCAAGCAGTAGACTTCTTTAACGTACTAAATAAAACCAGTGGAGAGTTTGTCCAAGTGTACCTTTTATGCAGATAGCAAAAGACAAAATTAAGTAGTTTTTGTCACAGTTTTTAAGATAGTTTGGCATTACTTTTCCCTTTCCCCTCTCCCCTCCCTGCTTTAAGTACATTCCATTGGTAGTAATTTCAAATAATCACGGGATATCAAATTGAATTTCCTCCTGAAAAAAAGTAACAGAATGGAGTTGTGCATCAACTGACAAGGATGTAAATTCACCACTTTGAATGCCACACAGTTCGGGAGCAATGCTTCCTGTTTATGGAGAACTGGACAGGGATTTGGGTACTATCAAATGATCTCTTGTTTCTTCTGTTTTTGAGTCCTCTCCAAGGACAACAAAGGTGTATTTGGAATGTGTGGGATGAGGTGACAGGTTGTCAGCCAAAGTGCTACGAATGAAACCCTATGTCACTGACATGGAACCCGAAATCGCAGTGACTGTAAAGTCGCCGAGCCCGGAATGAGGGTCAGTGGTCCTTTTCATCAGTTCTAGGGAATCCATTCTGCGTGATTGCGAGTTTACCAACTTTGCTCTGCTCAAAAAGGACCAGAGCCATCGTACCGGCCACACAGATTCACTGTTCAGCAATTGTCCCTCCTTGTCGCCTTGGTCCCATTTCACTTTCAGCAACTCTAGTACTGCTTCGGTCCTTAATAATGCTATTTTAGAACATGAGTATGGGGCGGTAGTGAAAAGAGGATTTGGTCTCGATGACCCCCTCTGCAGTGAGTCTCTCCATATTT